TCAACAGGAAAGCCGACAAGCATCCAGGCCAGTCAATCATTCGATCAATTCAGCAAAAGCTGATGAGTGTTCTCGCACGCCACGGAAGGGCGACCGAATGTGATCAGCGTTCAGGCTTTTCACAAAGGCACGATCGATGTTGATGGGTGATCACTAAATGTCTATCCGGCAGCCAGGGTCAATGTCAGAAAGTCCCCTTCATATAGCGTGGGGCCGTTGTAACGTTTGCTCTCGCACTCGCACGCACTCACGCTCTCGTACTCGCTTGTTCGGAATATAGCTGTTGTGTTCCCTTCTGTGAGTCTTTTTTCCGGCAACTAGGCACTGGAGCGGGTCAGCAGCAGATACCACAAATTTGCGAATCAGCAGATATAACACCTGGATTTAACGAACCTGTTCCAACTCAACGCAGAAATACCAGTAATCTCTGAGTCACTATCATTTTGAACTCAAACGCAAACACCGTTTATCACGAGGGTGACATGCATCCCAAGTGCTTGATAGCCCAGGTTAACTGTTACGTGGATGATATTTGGAAGGTAATATTGAACGGTGGAAGTTCTGGAAAATTATCGTGGCTGCCTCCCAGAGATTTCCGTCAAGCTTTCCTTTTTTGTGTCCCATCCCCACAAATATGACATATGGGCTGACTGACAGACTGACTGATGGGCGAACAAATTGATCCTGCAGTTGGTGTCAATCTGTACTGCACCACACTGTAGACTAAACGTTTAGTCTGCATCACAACGCCGTCTCAGACAAAGTAAACAGATGGTTTCAGACTAGTACTACCCCGAGCAACTCCCTATTGCAGATTACTGCTGCCTAGTTTTCCCGAAAATCAATAGCAAACAGGTGTTTCTGGTTGCACCAATGTCGTTACGAGTGTTGCCTTCTCCGGCTGAGTTCACTGATAGAACGAAATCTTGTTGGAACTTTCCAGGGCTCCCGTGTACTACTAACTTGTTACCGAAAAGGAATTTTACAAGAGGTATTGTCAGGATCCTGAGCTATCGTATTTTTTTTAACTTTTCGTCTACACGCCTCCTTTCTTTCATCGTGGACACTGATTTTTACGCGACCATATGTGTCCGTCAAAATACGCACACGATATCCGAACGACAGGTAGTTATATTCGACATTCAGAGGTTCATTGTGCTAACCTTTCAGTGCCTAGTAGCGCGATTTGCGTATGTGGCATTAGTTAAACGGAAATCCGAAAGGTGAAGTTCCCCAAATTGTATGAATTTGGAATTGTTAGTGGCAGAAAAAATGCCCAAAAAACTTGCCATATGACAACTCAGGTAGCCACTGGTGGTTCGTTTCCGTTTCTCAGTGAAATTCTAAGCACATTTTGATCAAAAGCTGCAAGAAGACGGTATACTCTGATGTACTGTAGGCCTTCCTGAGTTATTTACTAATCTGTACTACTCACAGCTCCCATAGACAACATTACTGCATTACCTGTTCTGAATTTTATTTGCAGTGAACTTGACTGGCTGATTTAGCCCTTCTGGAGGCTCATCAGGTAGGCAAATTCCTCGGGTTGTCCTCAAACATATGTCCTAAATGAACCCAAATGTAGCGAAATAAGCTAAACACACTCATTTGTTTCAGATGAGTTCCAGATGAGTCTCCAGAACAAACAAATTTGTTTCCAAATGATTGCATTTCGCTAATTTCGTGCACTCTGAGCTCAAGTAGGTTGAGGAAAACTCGGCGACTTCGCCTACCTGATGAGCCTCAAGAAGGGCAAAACCGGTCGTGTGCTGTCGAAGAGTTTTCAGCAACCTTGTGCGTAGTTTTCTTTGTGACATTTCGAATATCGTGCCAACTGAAATATGAGGCGGTCTGGTGCAGCATATTCAGTTAGTTAAAAATCAAAGAAGCGAGATTCAGCTGGGTTCCAGGTGGGCCTCCCGTCGGAACCTAATCCGTATCGAAATGAGTGTATTTTGCTAACTTGACTGGTTGATTTTACAAGCCAGTTCAAACTCACCTCATTGGTTTCTCATGTGTTATGTCGCCTTTTGTGAGACTATGTGAATTCTCATCGAGTGGTGGAACGTTCCGAGGAATTGGAAAATGTTTGGAACCGATTGGGACGTCATCGTCTCGGAAGGGTTTAGTAAACAATCGGTGATTTGTATAGCTCGGCGACTTTTCGCTTTGACAGGCCAAGTTGGCCGAGTTTTATGGTACATGGGGACCAATCAGCTTGATCTCTTCGGATTCGCACACTAGATCACTGTTGAACATCGGTTAAAGGAGTGTCACTTAGTGTGGACGGTCAGATCTCTCGGTTGAAGGGTTGGAGGATGGCAAGTCATTTTTGATCGAGTTCGGGTCTTGAGACCTTTCGTTCAAGGTGCCCTATTAGATGTTTCAGCTTGTTGGCCCGTGTGGATTTTAAGAAGCTATGATAATTGGGTTGATCAACTGATTTAAGACCGTCCTCTACACGCTTCACAGTTCTACATCTTTTATTCTGTTTACACTCGACACGTGGCAGTTTCCACCGCCTCGACTTTGAGTTTCGAGACCTGGACTGCCCGCAAAATTTCAGCATTTTCGAAACCCATTTTTGTCCTTTGTCTGGTGCATGTTCCACCATTGCTGAATGTTTCAGTAACGCTCGATATTCATCTAATTTTTCCGGTGAACTGTCTATCTTGCTCCTGTGCCCGACGATGCTGGTTTAGAGTTTTCGGGTCGTCAGTTCCATAGGGACCTTAGTGTAGCCATTACAGTTAAATTTGTGGTGAACAGCTACTTTGAGTACACGTGTCCGCCATACGCTGAAAATGGGATTTCTCATTAGTATGATGATGATGTTGATGACGATGACGACGATGATGATGATGATGATGATGATGCTGATTTTTAAAATGTATAAAAAACATTTGGCTAAACATCTATGTTTATCTTGTAGCAGAAATTAAAACTAAAAGTTTTTCACTATTCCACTTATCGATTTGAAAGGTAACTTGGTTTATTTATGTTTCGTTTGTACGTTTCCAAATCTGTTTTTCGCAGCGGCATTTCACACTGGGATGATGATTCATGCGTGTTTAGACAGACCCCGAATGCCTTCAGTGGTCCCGCGGTGAGTCACACTTTTTCCAGACAGACGCATTGAAGTTCGTTTACCTTCGCTTTCAACTACACAATACGAATTATCTGAAATCCCACTACTACTGAGCCGGTTTTTGAACACCCCAACGTGACACGTCAGACATGTGTTCGATAATACCAGTCACGTGATCATATCCATCAGTTTGTGACGAAAGCCGGCAACCAAGTCTTGATTTTATTTGCAGACAGTAGAAAGGCCTTTTCTAGTAAAGCGCTGTCTCGAAGGTGGTATTCATCCAATGAAATATTCCGGAACATTTCTTACAGTGTCTACTTAACTTTATGTTCATTCTGTCCAGCACACGTCGATGAAAGGATGAATTTTTAACCAATGATTACTTCACAATGTACACTGGATACAGACTCCCTTGAGGAACAGTCCGGTCAACCTGTTCACAGTAACACACAGGAAATGTGTAAAACGGAAAGCATACGGTGAAATTCAGGATTATACAAACAGTGTCCTTTCGGAGTACTCGAAGAAGAGATCTTTGACTTTGGGATAGTTTAAATTTTCAAGTAAGTTCGTTTTGCTTCTCCCGCCGCGCCTAAATCAAGCACAGTTTCACTGTCATCAACTTCCCCTGTCATTTTTCACACAGTTATAAGTTATCGGTGAAATTATTATACAAACAGTGTCCTTTCGGAGTACTCGAAGAAGAGATCTTTGACTTTGGGATAGTTTAAATTTTCAAGTAAGTTCGTTTTGCTTCTCCCGCCGCGCCTAAATCAAGCACAGTTTCACTGTCATCAACTTCCCCTGTCATTTTTCACACAGTTATAAGTTATTTCAATTTTTTTACTTTTATTTCGACTAAACAAGGAAGAAGATCGGTTTGTGCAGAAAATGGAACTGTAAATAAGCCAACAGAATCAATTTTTAATCTGACAGATCTGACATCTCCACACCTGTTAACCAGGTACAACTTTTCTGGTAGTTTGCACAACAGAGAAAATGCAAAGGATTTGAGTTTGCTTCTTACGAGAGTGCGTTTAGCAGTGCATATCACTGACCATGTCCAGTGCGATTCCCAGACGACTAACATACGACGCAAGCGTGTTGCCACCACTTCACCGGTACACGCTGGATGTACCTTGACTAAAAGTTGTAAACATTTGAGCAATGTAATGGTTTTCCTACAATACCTGAAACAACGGCCCACTAACTTTGTTGGTTTCGGCTTCCGAATGACCTTTTCCAAAAGTTCCAGTCAGGTAGTACGAGAGACACCTGAGACTATTTTCTTGTAGAATGCGCATATTAAATGCTCAAGGTTCAAAATTCTGCAAGACCAACTATTCCAACTGCTGATTGGCTCTAATAAAAGCACAGCTCGAGTCCATTAATTCCCTCACCAGATTGGTTGATCCAGGACTGGATTGAAACTTGCGGGGGCCTTTATTTCACTTCCGCACTTTACCCAACATCGGGATAACTGTGCGGTTCCCGACAATGGAAAAGTTCATCTTACTGCATGTCACCGAAACTGATGGCGTGGTTTCTGAAATTACCTGACATCATCGTTTTCGGATGAGTGATCACTTAGAACAGCTCCCAGATACGTCGCGGACATTATTCACGTATGTGAACAGCCCGTGCAGAATGACCGGCTCAGCTGAGGTCTCGTCCGTCAATCACAGAACGAAGACATACACCAACGTCAAGATCCCTTGATGTTATGCTCTGTCTCCGTTGGCCGCCTACACAATTCTCCTTCGGCAGTTTAAGGACGAACGCAAGTTTTACCTTGCATTATGCCCTCTACAACATATGACCACGTGAAGCAAGCCACCAGGTGAATTCTGTGAGCTTCCTTCATTCAAAGCGATCGACCACCTCACTGGCGTGACCAGTACGGCCAAGATTGTTTCAGGACAGTTTCAGAATAAACATCGCGTGTTAACCAAGAAAATCTAATGTTAACTCAAGGTGTGCTTCTCTTCAGGGACAAATCTCATGATGGATAACCGTAAACAGCCCCCATCGGTTTTTGCATGACTGTTTGTCATTAGTTCTGTGGGGAGCAGTTGTACAAGAGCGTTTTATTTACCAGAAGGTCCATGATTCAAATTCAACCACGGAATCTGGACTGCCCCGGTCTAGTTTGGGAAACCTGGCAGAATCATCATCATCATCATCATCATCATCNAAACTGACAACAAGAACGCCACTGAAATCGGTTGGCAGCCATATGGTGTGGTGTCTCCAACCAGGCACAGTGGGGATCACGCGGTCCTCATCCTAGAAGGCAAGTAGCACCGACAGCACCCAAGAGTTTTGTGATCTCCTTCATACTCCTCTGCCAAGCCAAGGGTTGGCCACCTCTCTGTTTACGCCACTCTGAACTGGGCATGGAAGTACCCCTTGCACAACCGAAAACGTGCTCTCTAACTGCCTTGTTACGGACAACGATAGTCGAACACCTGAAGACGTCTCAGGTCCGCTGCCCGAGTAGGCCAAGTCTCGCAGGCATACAACAAAACAGCCCACACTGTAGTTTGATACACATGTTCCTTCATATTCAGGGATTAACCATTCTGACGCCATAGGTGTATCAAGTTGGCAAATGCGGCCCGAGCATTACTGATTCGTGCATTCACCTCATCTGTCTTACTACAGTCAGAGCTAATACAACGTTCAAGATACGTGAAACGCTCCACAATTTCCAGTACCTTTCCTGGATTGTAAGTGGCGTGTTCAGTGACTGCACGTCCACGAGCATGACCTTATACTTTGTAAGTGCAATGTCTATGTCAGCTGGACTCTGAGAAGTTATTGTAGCTGAACGAACGATTTTGCAAATTTTATACGATCATATCGGCAACGCTGGGGGGCTCGAAGGGATAAATTCTCCGATGACCTCACTAGCAGTTCAGTGTTTGCTTAGCTAGACCAGGTGAAGTCCACACTTCACCACTAAGTCAAAGGTATTTTTGATGTTCTGAAGACTTTAGTGGGTGTTTTGCGAACTGCGAATTGATGTAAGGTTAGTGCGCTATCTAATGATATGCACATCGGAGGTTTCGCTATTTAAGTACTAACGCCAACTGAACATGCCTTCGCCTCCAAGGCTTGGTTGTATCGTCCACTTCATCGTTTTCCGGTGATCAACACTGTAGCAGCTAGAACCATAGTGCTTATGGCATACGGCTTACAGCTGATAAATTGAGTTGAATTGAAATAACGCCCACTCATATGTTTTTGTAATGCAATACTCCTAGACAGCCCACGACCGGTTTCGCCCTTCTTGGGGCTCATCGGGTAGGCGCAATCCCCGAGTTTTCGTCCACCTTATGTTCTACTTCAAACAAAAATATTGCACCAAATTAGCCAATAGACACTCACTCATTTGCAAACTAATTTGGTTCTCTAAAATGGCAAGAGCGGAAATCCGTGCATTCACCTCATCTGTCATACTACAGTCAGAGCTAATACAACGTCCAAGATATGTGAAACGCTCGACAACTTCCAGTACCTCTTCTTGGATTGTAAGTGAGGTGTTCAGTGATCGCACGTCCACGAGCGTGGCCTTCATAAGCGTTTTACTGATGAAAAAAATGAAACAGTGAAAAGCCTACAACCGTAAGTAAACAACCCGCAAATTTTTCTGTGTTCAAACCGATACCAACGGGAAAGGGTGCTGAGGCACCCTTCAATCAACTTCCAAACTATGTAGCGGTACGCAACAAGGTACGCAAAAGGGTGTGGGGATATCATATGATATTCTGTCAATGCTTTCGGTGAGCATGATTCATTCGACAAGTCGCTTCCACCAGCCCTAGTTTGCGCTCATTTTCTAACTCTAGTGACACTCGTTTAAATTGGAATACCAACCACCTGGAATGCTCTCGAGAGTTCATTCTTTGTGTGCCTGGTCCCCTTGTTGAAGGGAGTTGAACCGACGTTCACGTGGTACACCTCTGGATGATGACCAACCGACCGACCGACTGGCAGATTCCTTTCAGCCGTAACTTATGAACTTTCGAGCTTTAACACTCTGTGATGGTGTGCGTTCTGTATGGTGTGGTTCTCTCCTTCAATGGGTTGAAATGCTTTGTCAGTTGTCAGATGTGTCATTTGTCTATCTGCAATGTGCTAAGACAACAACAAGGTTGTGAAACAACGCACTCGCAATTTCGGCACACTTGCACGTATGTCAACACATGCAGTGCCACATGCACACCTGAGTTATCCATCTCATGAAGAATGTCTAGTCCATATTTCGTCTGATCAAAGGCGCGAGGAATGAAGAATGGAGTAGAGCATAAAACTAGTCGGAAAGTTAAATTTCACCGATTGAGGAGCGTAACGGACGGGTTGGAACCACTTGACAATAGCTGCCTGGTAAGCTACCCAGTCTGCTTTGATTGTCCCTTATACCCACATCCTTTTTGAAGAACAGGCGCTTGTACAAACTGTGTGTGAGTTCCAGAGAGCATCATATGAAATTTTAGTGTACCGACCATCCACTTGAGGCAAGTTTCGTTCGTCGCCACTGCTGTCCTCAAGACTTGTAACTAGTTGCCGATCGATTGGCATACAGAAAAATTCCACTTCGGTGCTTCAGCACCCTTTACCCTTTGGTATCGGTCCGAACACAGAAAAATTTGCGGGTTGTTTACTTACGGTTGTAGGCTTTTCACTGTTTCATTTTTTTCATCAGTAAAACGCTTATGAAGGCCACGCTCGTGGACGTGCGATCACTGAACACCTCACTTACAATCCAAGAAGAGGTACTGGAAGTTGTCGAGCGTTTCACATATCTTGGACGTTGTATTAGCTCTGACTGTAGTATGACAGATGAGGTGAATGCACGGATTTGCAAGGCACGGGCCGCGTTTGCTGATT